GGTACAAAATGAATGATTTTATCTAACATTGTACCTAAAAACCTTTTAAAAATGTTCTTTTCTTGATAGATCATTCCTATATGCAAACAGGATTAGTGAGCACATTCTTGGAGAACTTATCTCGCATTTCTCCTTTCTGTCTCGCTTCCCCCTCCTGCTGCTGGCGTCGCTGCAGCTGGTCCTCCCCCCGCCTCTCCTCCAGCTCCCTGTCAGTCCAACTGGCTCTGGTGTTGGATTATTTATAAGTTGTCCAGACCGTCCCTTACTGAATGTCCAGGTTGTCCACCAATGAAACAAGCGAAAAACAGTTCAGTTTGCTGTCTTCGTCTCTGAATCACTGAAGCACAGTATTTGTCTTCTCCACGCTGATGCCAGAGAGTAAACCAGCGGGGGCTGTAAAAGCTCAGTTGCAGGTAAACACAGAGATATAGTTCCAGTCCAAATGTCCAGCAGGACTCCATACAGTAGTTTGCTGCATGGCATTTCCCAGATATCCAGGAATCAGGATCAGCGGACATCTTAGTGCCTTTAGTGTCCAGGTGGCAGAAATCATCATGTCCTTTTTCGCTTCTTTATCAACTGTCATTGGCTGGTGATGAAGGAGGGACGTCATCTGATCGGCAGGACAGGTCTGAGTTGAGGTCGGAGGTCAGACTCACCGCAGCGAGGCTCAGACAGAGGAAAAGGAAAGAAGCAAATAAGAGTCCATTAGGGTTTGTTCGGCTTTCTGTGTCTTTTTTTTTCTTTTTACAAACACATATAAACATGAAACATGTTAAAAGCTGTAGTCTCTTTTAACCTGTACAATATTAACCTATGTAAAATGTAAGTTTATGTTAACTTCATCTGAGTCACGTTTCACCAGAGAACAATGGATTTCTCTAAATTTGTCGATCTTAGTGCTGCAGACTGTGAGGTCAGCGGGCAGCCCTCCTCTCAAGGCCTAAGAGAGACATGAGGCTGGATAATGTCCAGGTCGGTACCTTACTCTGACCTCTGACCCCTCCAGTTATACAGCCAAAGGATCATTTCACCAAGTTGGTGTTATAATCTGATTACGACACAATATATTAAACATTGTTCTTTGGGGAGAATTTTATTATTTAATTTTATTTTTCAGCTTCTCCTCCTTCAGGAAAGTCATAATTCCACTTTTAGCATGCAAAAAGGTTGTTCCCATGTTTTTATTTCAGTGAGACATCTCTCAACTGGTTTTTCTTTGAAAGTGTAGGAACACTAAAAAACAAAAAATAAAACAAACAAAACAAAACAAACACAAGTATTTCATAAAAGTAATTTTATTTTCTGACTTGTGAGGCTTAATCCTATTTTATAATATCAGTAAATATTATTTTGCATGCACTGGTTTCATACCAAAATTCAATTTCTTTTATTTATTTATCTTTTACTTAACATGTAACAAGCTGCACATGTGTCCACCATTTCATCAATTTAGTTTGATGGTTTGTTTTGTTTGGGTGTGGCAGAGTCTGATCATGCTGAGGATTTCTCCTGTTTGTGGTCCCCTCACTTTTGCCCAATCCTTTCCTAATGAGGGTATGGCTGCTTCTCCTGCTTCTACCCCATTTAATCTATATGAATGGATTAATCCAGTCATGTCTTCTATCCACTTATCGGGGTCTTCTGTTACAGGTGTTATTCCTTCTACAGCCTTTCTTGCCTCTTTTAAGGTCCAGGGTGCAAAAACATATAAGTTTTGTGCACCTTCCTCTAATGAAGGGTACAGTCGTACTGCTGGGACTGGGGCAGACGGAGCTGCTGCAGCGGCGGGGGGAGGAGCAGCTGCAGGAGCTTCCACTCCCTGCACCGTTACAGCACTCCGTGTGCTTAGAATGATTTTATTATCTTTCAGTCTAACAAATAGGTTTTTTGCTTCTACGAATTTTTTGTCTTTAACCTTTTTAGTTTGTTCTTTCCGGTCTATGGCTGCTTTTAACCATAATTTAGCACATCTCAGCTCATCCTCCTTTTTAGCCTTTTTTATCCCCTTTTTTCTTGCTACACTACTCTCCAAAATTCCCACAATTGTTTGCCATCGATCAATTTTTAGCTTCCCATCTATTTTATATTTCTTTTTCCATTTTTTTTATGTGTACAATGCTACCAGGAAATCTGGACAGCATGTATTTTTCATCCCCATCGGGACCCTCAGCAAGTGAGGATTTACAAGAATTTGCATTTCCCATTATTCAACTTACTTGCAATTTGAGCTTTTATTTATTTAAATTTAGTCCAGATTCGTTGACTCCTAGGGAGTACTATGAACTGGTGATCTTTTCAGTAGGCCAGCAATTAAAAATACCTTGTTGTGGTATTCTCCGCTTCAACTCTTATCGAGTGGGAGAATCTCGCCTTTGCATCCACAAGAGGTTTGCTGTTTAACCCCACTGTTTTTATATGAGGTAAAATACTGAGCAGTATTTAAACCTCCAATCACTCTTTCACACACACACATCAAAGCAGCAAACAAACAGCAATATCAGCACAATAATAACAGAACAGTAATAATAAGCTTCCTATCTCATGAGGACTTACCCTTAAGAGGTGTCCTCTAAGTAAGGAGGCTCTCTAAGAGCCTTTCCTTTTGCCTTTAGTTGAAACTCTGTCAACTGGGACCCTTATAACTTCTTTAGTCAAGCTGGTATCTGACAAGGACTCAAACCTTTCTTTAGTCAAGCTGGTATTTGACAAGGACTCAAACCTTTCTTTAGTCAAGCTGGTATCTGACAAGGACTCAAACCTTACTTTAGTCAAACTGATATTTGACAAGGACTCAAACCTCTAAAATAGTCATTTTAAAATTCACCTACGTTTCTGTAGTTTTCGGGTTGTCCAGTCGGATCTCGTCACTCCGCCGTTGGCAGACAAAGTCGGACATGTGTCGCTGGCCCAGCAAAGAATTTTGCTTCCTGGGTCTTTCTTTCCAGGTCCAGTTGACTCTGGCCGTGCACGGATTCAGCGCGTCTTCCTCTGCCTGACAGCGGGCGGGGAGAGATCCCGGATTTCGGCACCAAATGATAGGTACTTTTTCTCGAACCTATATAAAAAGACCACAGACAACGTATATGAATTTTATAGACAAAGCTTTTGCAAAAGGAGAACTCTCCGCCACCGCCTCTCCAGGCCGTTCACAGAGAATTCTGGTCTGCTTTCGCGTGAGCCCCTGTTTTATTGTCAAGCAGAACAGCCAAAAAGGGGCAGTCAGGAAAACAACAAAGGTCGTAAAACTTCTAACCTAAACAAACCAGCAACTCAGTTCCAGGTGTGATATCTGATCTACGATCTGAGCCCAGTTCAGCTCTGTCGACAAAGAGGGAGGATAAACAAGAGACAAAATACGACTGCTCACAGGCAGTTAGGAGGTATTCTGGTTGATAAGAATTAAGGTCTGGGAAACACAGAGTTAACTGTCTCACATGAAGATGAAACAGTCAGTCGTACCCTCCAGGTCAGTTTATACACGCATAAGGAATAAAACTCTTTAATCTAAAAATCACAATAATACTNGCCATAGAAATGTGAAGCGTAAGAATCTCTGACCAGCAGCAGCAGCAGAACCACAGAGAGGAACATGGTGGCTGTGAAAGTGTCTCCACACAAAGTCAGAGTTTGTTAGAAACCAGGAGGTTTGATGTGATCCACGCCCTCTCACTGCTTACGGTCCAGGAAATGAAAATGTTTGTGGCTTTACGCAGAAACCTGGTATGAGGAAGATTTATTTTACTGAAAGATAATGATCAGAGATAGAGTGAGTGAAGTAAACACAAGGATGTGCACTAAGTATTATCTGTGAATATACATGTATATCTGTGAGCATCTTCTTTATCAATATCTGATTGTGGCTTAACTTTCTTGTAGACGTTGTCGGAGTGTGACTAAGATTTATAGTCACCAGTATTTGCTGTGGTTGTTCATCTCCACCAGTCATTGGGTCTTTCACAGAGACATACTTTAAATTCACAACTAATATGAAATTAGAAAGATCAATTAACCAATTAACAGTGATGTTTTTGGACCCAGAATCCAAGTATGCAATAAGAGAACCTGCAATCCAGGTTACTACAGCATCACCATCACACGGGCCATAAATATTTATATTACGTGTATTTATAAAATTTTAACAATCATTTTTGGCAAGAAAATATCCATAAACGAAAAAAAACTTCAATCCTAAACAAATTCCTTTGAATGGATCCAAAAATATTGTTTTTAGCCACAAACTGTTGGTTTAATATCTTCATCTATGATTTGATTGAGAAAAAATAAACAAATAATTTTGCAGATAAACCAAAGTAGTCTAAAAAATATATATCTGGACAGACGAGACAGGAAGGGAAAACATGTTTTTTTCCACATAAAACCAACTTGAACTGTTTGAATAAAGATAAATTATTTTGATGACGGTCAAAGTGATTTATAATCATCAGATCAGCTCCATACACACCTGAATATAAACTTTGTTTTCTCATGATTACACATCTTCACATCTCATTACCTTCATTGAACACCAACCACTTTGTCACTTTTGCCCAGACAATAAAGAACCCGGCGTCTCAGTGCATAATAACGGCTTTTGTTTGAATAATTACTGTGGCTTCAGCTTTCAGGTGTAACTGTAAGCAGGAACAAAGCTGCAGTCTGTGCATAACAGCAAATAGTTAACAGAACAGGAGAAAACTGCTGAGTATCTGGAATGATTCACACGAGGAACAAGGAAGAAATTCCCTCTCAAGACTTCAGCAACACTTGAAATGCAGGAAAACAACTTTAGTAGCAGAACATTTCAATTTCTGGCCTTCACCAGTCGCACTGTCACAAAGACACTTAGAGACATAAAGAAAAGGAGAAATATAGAAAAATGTCTTGATTGTTATTTTGTAAACTTAAAGAGTTTAGAACTGATTCAAATGTTTCTTTTGTTTGCACATTGTTTATGCTAAAAATAAAACCCAACATATGAAATGTTCCTCACATGTACTGAGCTTTTAATATGAAACATAAAGCAGTTTTGACTCTTTAGCATCATTCATACACATGGAAAAGTGCTTTATAATAAAACACAAAAATACAAATAAAATAAAGTGTAAGGATAAAGAAAAATATGTGGAAAGAAAAGCATGAAGAGAACCAGTACATCTAATGACAGTGTTGTGTTCAAGACCACCTAACCCGAGACCGAGACAAGACCGAGACCAAATGCGGTCGACTCCAAGACGAGACCGAGAAAATGGTCTTAAGACCGGTCTCGAGACCAAGACCAACTTCGAGTACCACAACACTGTCTAATGATCAGATTATCTTGATTCAAAAATTGTTGAAAACAAATATAAAACAATATTAAAAGTCTTGTCCAACTGGATTAGTAAAAAATAAATATTGTATCACATTAAAAGACAAAACAGTCCACTTAACACTTAATCTGACTAATTTTGTTATTAATATTCGGTAACACTTTATTTGAAGGGGGTTGAATAAGACTGACATAACACTGTCATAAAC